AGATCTTTGCTGCTAACTCCACCATGGACGTCCCTCTCAACGCCCAAGTGCCGTCAATTCAAGGGGTTCCCTACACTATGCGGGAGGTAACATTCAGGCATAAGACCGTAAGACAAGTGCTCTTGTCGCTCGACATCAACAAAGCTTCTGGTTCGGGCTTGATTCCTGCCATTGTACTCAAGAGGTGTGCAGCTGGAAATTTGCTCATGTCCAACCCATCCCAAAAAAAGGATCTGAGACCGACCCTTACAACTACAGGCCTATAGCTCTGCCTTCTGTTATAAGTAAGGTGATGGAAAGGTGCATAAATCGCGAGCTTCTGGACTATCTCGAACGTCACAGCTTGATTATCGACAGGCAGTATGGTTTCCGGCACCAACGATCCACAGGGGACCTCCTAGCAATTGTGGAGTAAACTCATCCAGTCTTATGGTGAGGCTCATGTCGTTGCTCTTGGCATCACGAAAGCGTTCGATCAGCTGTGGCACGTTGCCCTCTTAATCAAACTTCCATCCTATGGCCTCCCAGAAAGGCTTTGCAGGTGGGTCTGGCTGCAAGATATCCGTCGTAATTGACGGGTTCGCCTCTTAATTCCACAACGTTAACGCGGGTGTTCCCCAGGGATCGGTCTTGGCTCCGACACTGTTTCTATTACATATCAACGACCTCCTTTCCTCCACGATCAACCCAATCCACAGCTTCGCTGATGACAGCACTCTACATGCAGGAATTCAGAGTGACAAGCCGATCTCTGCCGCTGAGCTGGAAAAAAGAAGACTAGCGACGACTTCCTCTCTGACAAGAGACCTGGAGGCTATCACTGCTTGGGGAAGATCCAATCTTGTACAGTTCAATGTTTCCAAAACACAGTACTGTACTTTAACGAACAAGAAGTGTCCTGCCACTCATCCAGTTTCGATGGACGGCCGAGTTCTGCCAAAGAGACATTCATTTCGGCTGGTTGGAGTCCAGATCACCGAGGACCTGATCTGGCACGAACGTATTTCGTCAATGGCTGCAGCTGCTGGGAAAAAGCTAGGCTATTTGTTTAGTGCTAAGAAGTACTTTTCTCCGCATGACCTTCTCACTGTATACAAGGCCCAGATAAGGCCTAGCCTCGAGTAATGCTCACACGTTTGGGGTGCTGCCGCCCCGACTACATTATCCATGCTCGATGCTGTCCAGAGGAGGGCGATCCGACTGATCGATAACTCTTCTCTAACAGACAGTCTCGGGACTCTTTCGCACCGGCGGGCCGTCGACGATCTAGCTCTTTTCTACCGCTACACCAACGGGCTTTGCTCCTCAGAGCTCTATTCCGGCCGATACGACCGCTCCTTTGTCCCGAGTGTGTCGAGATTGTGGAACAATCTACAAGAGGAAGCTTTTCCCAATTCTACTAACCTTAGGCAGTTTAAAAATCGTACTAACAAAATTCCTTTGGGATCATCATAGCAGCCGCGGTGTTCCGGCATTTAGGCTTCTGCCCGCGTGGCTACTTCGATATAAAAAAAATAAATTTATACCGTAAAACTGCCCTTATCTCACTACGTGACCACGATGCTGTAATCCGCATCCTGTGAATAGGAATGAACAACTAAATCACCAGACGTGCTGCTGGCGGCTACTATGCACTCATGGACATGTCTCAACTTGTAGTGACATGCAGCCTCCTGCGTCCGTTTGTTGAGTCATATTGCAAAACTTTTATAGTACCCACTTAGGCTAACCTATCGTATGCTAGCAATCGATTAAATGTCGAATGAACTTGAAGTTAGAAATAAAAGTTGAGAAATCATGAGTCCGCCACAAATATACCTGATAACCGTTCAGGGAGTTCACTAACCTCTGACACTAATCTGAAATATTGATTGGTCTAGCTCGCCGCGAATAAAATGACCTACTTTCCCACTGTTTACTCCACGAGATACATTTAAACCAGGAACAACAAAAGCTCCCCAAGGTTGGGTCATTTCCATTATAGTTTGTTAGACTGTTACTTGCCAACAGATAGTCTTGACCTCAAAACTTTATGAGAGACCTTGGATTTCCGAGCTTTCGTTCAGGGGATAACCGAGGAAACAGTGACGAACTTTTAAGTCCGTTATTTGGCTAGATCCGTTGCATTGCCTGGGGTATGTTCAAAGTACGTAGTATTTATTCGGTGGTGAGATGACGTGGCCTGAATGTTCGAGACAAAGGGATTTGGAAGTATTGTAATGGCGAAAAGTTTCGAAAATGATACACTTTTTTGCATGTTATATGACATGTGCATCACGAAAAACTATGTAACTCATTTACATCGATCTGTCTGTCTGTCGGCCTGTCTGTCCGCTAATCCTTGGCCCGTCTATAACTTGAGAAGTGCCGCTCGGATTTTGATGAAATTTTCATACAAGGTTGCTTCTATGCCAAGGACGAAATCGGTCCAGCGGCGGCGGAGGAAAAAAGGCAAAAATGAAAAAATTAAAATCGCTCAAACTTCATTTCTTGACGTTTCAGAGGGTCCTGATCATTTTCAGTAAAAATGTTTTTAGGGGTTGAAATTCGGGAATTGAGGGTTGTAGGGAGAGGGGGAGGGTATATTGAAATTTTTTGATCTTAGTATATTTATACGCTCCCAATCTCGGTAATTATCTGCACCTATTATCCATATTTCACGCAACATAGAGATGTTTTCGATCCACCTACTCCTGCTATCTAAGCTCACCGCCCGGTGAACCGGTCCGGCTGGCTAATCTATCCGTACTGCAGCGCAAAAAACAAATGCACGAACCGCGCAAGAAATGAACGATAACTCACTGCAGCGATGCCGATATGAATCACAAACCATTCCGAAAGATAAATGTTATTATTATGCGCAAAAAAAAGGTTACGTTTTTTCTTCTAAACAAATTCAAACATTTCGTATTTCTGAGTAATTGAACAAATGCGCGACGATATTCGAAAAACATACGTTACTACACACATTTTAAAACAACGCGGAAGTGCCTATTATCTTTTGTTGCGAATTACTCACAAATACGAAATGTTTGAATTTGTTTAGAAGAAAAAACATAAGGCATCCTTCCGGAATGGTTTGCGATTCATATCGGCAAGATAAACTAGTGTATTTAGCTATAAAATGTTCTTTGATCTAACCCTACATATTACTCAATAAACTAGTAGTGATGGCCGGAAAACAGGTGTTTTGGGATAAACAATTAAAAATTCTCAAAAACTAGTTGACCAAACTACTCCAATTTTTTTGTCGTTATTTAGAAGTACTAATCCTACAAATATGAAGAATTTCAAGTATCTGCGAGAAACCATCGTTCCATTACCAACAAGAACCAAAACCTGCAGTTTTCCTCGGTTTTTGGTCATAACTTTTTGCTATTAGTCGGATCTTTTTACGTGTTTTTTGTAGGTCTCATAAATACCTAAACATCTTATATCAAGAGTTTTTCCGTTACTGCCAACACTTCCGATTGAATCGTTTTCTCATTCTTTGTTGTCGAATAAAAACTTTTCCCACAAAAATTGCTGTACCCATTTTGTGCGTCCATGTTTTAATGGTTGAACAACTTGCAGCAATAAAACCAGACCGCAGCAGTCTTTCCTGCTCCGGAGATGTTTCTTTGGAATCAGACCGGAAGGACATTCTGTGGCTTCGCCTCAACTCCAAAACATCACTCAAATTTATTTGCTGCCTTTATTGCTCTCCCTCGGACCATAACTGGGATGACCTTCTCGAATACCTCGCCGTCCAGATCGACTTCCTGAACATCAATCATCCCGCTTCAGAGGCAGTTCGTCTCGGTGATTTCAATGCCCATAATGAGCTTTGGTTGGGCTCAAATAAGACCGACGCAGCAGGTCGTGCAGTCGAAGCGTTCGCTCTTACTCAAGGGCTAACCCAGCTGGTGACGAGCCCTACTTTTTCCCCCGCGTCTTGTCACACGCCAATAGAATTCTGGATCTCTTTCTGACCACGCATCCTGTCCCTTACAGCACTGCTGTCCTGTCCCCCCTGGGTAACTCAGACCACGGTGTTGTGGAGGTTGGATTTCGGTCAGAACCCGCTGTGGCAGCAGAAATTCATACAGGCCGCAAAACTTGGCATTACGGACATGCCGACTGGGAGGGGCTCAGAGATTTCTTCTCTAGCTTTCCTTGGAAAGATGTCTGTTCCACTGACGTGGAAGCGTCGGCTGTCTGTTCTTCGATAACCGAAATTATCCACGTCGGAATGGAGGAATAAATCCCTCAGACAGTGAAAGTGCCTAGACCAGGGTCCAACGGCTCGTTTAACAAATCGTGTGACACTGCTCGCCAGCAGAAGATCAAGGCACACAGAACCTTTTTACAAAACCCCACTGTAGAGAACAGACAAGCCGACGTTGAGTCCAGAAACAAATATAAAGCAGCGGTTCGCAATGCCAAAAACCAGCACGATATAAAAGTTAGGCACAGGGTAATGTCGCAGCGCAATGGCAGTCGGTCTTTCTGGACGCTGGCCAAGGAGATTGAAAAGAACTTCTCACATAGTAGCCTTCCACCACTTACGTGTCAGGATGGAACTATTGTATTCAGCTCAAAGGCTAAGGCGGAAGTGCTAGCCAAGATCTTTGCTGCCAACTCCACCATGGACGTCCCCCCCAACGCCCAAGTGCCGTCAATTCAACGGGTTCCCATCACTATGCGGGAGGTAACATTCAGGCATAAGACCGTAAGATGAGTGCTCTTGTCGCTCGACATCAACAAAGCTTCTGGTCCGGACTTGATTCCTGCCATTGTACTGAAGAGATGTGCACCGGAGCTTGCTCCAGTTCTTTCGCGTCTCTTCCAGATATCTTATGAATCCGGCACCTTCCCAGAAAACTGGAAATTTGCTCATGTCCAACCCATCCAAAAAAAAGGGATGTAAGACCGACCTTTACAACTACAGGCCTATAGCTCTGCTTTCTGTTTTAAGTAAGGTGATGGAGAGGTGCATAATTCGCGAGCTTCTGGACTACCTCGAACGTCACGGCTTGATTAGCGACAGGCAGTATGGTTTCCGGCACCAACGATCCACAGGGGACCTCCTAGCTTACGTCACTCAATTGTGGAATAAACTCAGCCTCTTATGGTGAGGCTCATGTCGTTGCTCTTGACATCACGAAAGCGTTCGATCAGCTGTCGCACGCTGCCCTCTTAAGCAAAATTCCATCATATGGCCTCCCAGAAAAGCTTTGCAGATGGGTGGCTGACTTTATATCTGGCCGCAAGATATCCGTCATAATTTATTATATAATAATTGACGGGTTCTCCTCTTCATCCCACAACGTCAACGCGGGGCTCAGGGATCGGTCTTGGCTCCGACACTGTTTCTCTTACATATCAATGTCCTCCTTTCCTGCACGATCAACCCAATCCACAGCTTCGGTGATGACAGCACTCTACATGCAGGAATTCAGAGTGACAAGCCGGTCTCTACCGCTGAGTAGGAAAAAAGAAGACTAGCGATGACTTCCTCTCTGACAAGAGACCTGGAGGCTATCACTGCTTGGTGACGCAACAATCTTCCAAAACGCAGTACTGTACTTTGACGAACAAAAAGCGTCCCTGCGCTCACCCGGTTTCGATGGATGGTCGAGCTATGCCAAACAGCCATTCATTTCGGCTGGTCGGAGTCCAGATCACCGAGGACCTGATCTGGCACGAACACATCGCGTCAATAGCTGCAGCTGCTGGGAAAAAGCTAGGCTATTTGTTTAGGGCTAAGAAGTACTTTTCTCCGCATGACCTTCTCACTCTATACAAGGCCCAGATAAGGCCTAGCCTCGAGTATTGCTCACACGTTTGGGGTGCTGCCGCCCCGACTACATTATCCATGCTCGATGCGGTCCGACTGATCGATGGCTCTTCTTTAACAGACAGTCTCGGGACTCTTTCGCACCGGCGGGCTGTCGGTGATCTGGCTCTTTTCTACCGTTGCACCAACGGGCTCTGCTCCTCAGAGCTCTCTTCCATGATGCCGTCGCGCGATGTGCCTGCCAGACAGACCCGCCTGACTTTGGCGTCCCATCCTAACCGTGTCGAACTTCGTACATCCAGAACCGGCTGATACGACCGATTCTTTGTCCCGAGGGTGTCGAGATTGTGTAACAATCTACAAGAGGAAGCTTTTTCCAGTTATATTAACCTTAGGAAGTTCAAAAATCGTATTAATAAAATTTCTATGGGATCATCATAGCAGCCGCGGTGTTCCGGCATTTAGGCTTCTGCCTGCGCGGCTGCTTCGATATAAAAAAAGACTACAATTATTTCCCTCTAATATGATTAGACTATCAATCAATGATACTAATGAGTTTTACCAGTCACCAACCTGGTTTTCTTGAAACACAACACGTGTTTCGCAAACTATACATTGTAACTATTTTAATCATCCCCTAAAGATGCTAAGATAGTGTATTCAAAAAACAGGTTCTTTTCAAGTATTGAGAAAAAGGTACAAAAGTCTTTGGGAAAGAGATTGAAAATAAAAAAGTAAACACGTACTCAAAGCGAAGAGTTTCCCTCTCAACGCTTCTTATACTTCGGTTTTAGCTGGTTATGCAGCCTTAAATGGGTATCCCTTTACCACAGTGTGGGTTGACCTAATGACAAACCTGCTCATGTTTACGAAACTCGCAAAACAAAGTTGTCCCATAACTTTGAAGTTAAAAAACAATTTTCCAAATATGCCCCAAGATCATCAGAAACTCTTGAGCATGAAATACGAAGTTTGAGAAACTTCTGATGGATTTCCATCTTCGCTAATAAGCCATCCGTCAAAGTACCAAATTCAAAAACAAGGAAACACAGAACATCGTATATCTGCTGGGATTTCGCCAAAATAAAGGTTACGAAGGATTATGCGGTGAAAAACGTCAAGACGAAGACGGAACTGTATAACATGGATTTTGATGTACACCGTAAAACGTCTGTAAAGCGAACGAGGTAGTAAATGAAATTGATGTACACAGAGTGAAGTTAAAATATAAAGGCAAGATGTTTATTGACTTTTTTCTGGTCTTGATATAGTCTAGTTGAGCTAGATTTCATAAGCTTCGCTAAATAAGACATGTACGATGCCATCGGGGAAAATCACATTTAGGCAACAGATGTCACACTCCAGACCGGTGCATAGCATCGTTGGAGCTGGTATATTCAATAACACTGATAAACTCAGGATTTGTGACATGACAATTTTTGAATGTATCTTATGTATTTCGAGGCCCTTAAATCAAATCTAAAAACAGAATTTTTCCCACAGATAATCGGTAACATCTACTTTTATGAATTATAATACGTAACATCTCATATTGCTGCATTTCTGGGCGTTTATGCGATGACGCACATATATACAGGGTGTTCCTTAATGATATGCGAATATTTAAGGGTGTGAATCTACATGAAAAATTAATGCTACCTTGCTTTATAAACTATGGTCCAAAAATGTTTTATTTCAAAAACTCGGGGTGTTGAAGTTTTAGGAAAAAATGGAAATTAATTAATATTTTCAGAACCGCTTCAGATATTTCACTTATATTAAGTATGTAATGAACGTTAATAAAGTGGCATATTTTTCAACGCAAAAATAATTTTTAGCTTTAACAGTGGCGTGCGTACGGTTATTGACTTCGATATTTTAAAAAAAATGGTACGCCAATGGTTTTTTGTCAAATAAGAATTATTTTTGAATTCTTCGTTCAATTTAAAACAAATGATATCTCTTAAATCGTTTTCCTCCGATGCGCGATTTTTGAGTAAAAAAATAAAAACCGTTCTATTGTCTGAAAAAATTAATGTAATAATAATTGAAGAATGCAATTTAGCAATAAATATCTAGTTGCTCTGGGATATGTCACTGGCTTTTGACATCTGACAAGTCTCTGTTATTCAAATCTGTTCGCTGTGACATCTTTTTCATTATTTAGTTTTTAGAATCTTATTAATAATGGTGAATTATTCAAATGCAGAAATGGCGGAAATGCATTACGTATATGGCCTTGCCGGCGGTAATGGCAAGCCAGACGAATTTATCACCATTTTAATTATAAAAAGTTTTTTTCTTGTGTATTAATGGCGTGGGTCGATGCAGATTATAAGTTTGTAGCTATCGATGTTGATTCCTTTGGAACATGTAGTGATTCAGAGATATTTAAAACCTCTAATATTGGTAGACGCTTAGTTGCAAATCAGCTAAATATCCCTGATGGAAGAAGGCTACCTAATGATGAAAACGAAACCATAATGCCATTTTATGTAGTAGGCGACAAAGCATTCGAACTTTCAAGTCACATTTTACGCCCATATGCAAGAAAAAATTTAAATTGTACTAAACGAATATTCAATTATAGACATAGTAGAGCTCGTCGCATGGTTGAATGTACATTTGGGATTTTGGCCAATAAATGGCGTATTTTTCACCGACCAGTTCATGTGAATATTGATTTCTGTGTTAATATAATAGAAGCGTGTTGTGTATTGCACAATTATGTTCGTATAAAAGACGGAATTAAAATCCAAGATCTTTTTTATCACTGCCCCGTAGATGGCTTAACAATCCAAGAAAACATGCGAGGAAGAAATAATATCAGTGGACGAAATGTTCGTCATTATTTATCATCATATTTTATTTCACCGCAAGGCTTTATTTCGTACCAATATGACAAAGTATGAATATATGTATACTAAGTGACATATAAATCCAGACACCCAGTTTAAATGGTTTTATTTTAATAAAATTTTGTATAAGTACTTAATGAAGCATAATAAGTAAATGATAAAAATTTCAAAATGATTGCACTGCTTTAAAGCTCTTTGACCTTTAATAATGTGTGGATGCACCCTGATGTGCTACGCATTCTCCAACGCGCCTAGGCATGCTTCTGATCAGGTGGTCAATGTCCTCCTGTGGTATCTCATTCCAGGCAACCACCAACTCCTCTCGAAGTGCTTCTAGAGTCTGAGGAGGACGTTACAAATTGAGCAATCTCATACCCATCATATCCCACACGTGCTCAATTGGGGATAAGTCGGGAAATCTTGGTGGCCATGGTAACAATGTGACATCATTATGTTGAAAGAAGTCTATTGTGACTCTTGCAACATGTGGTCGGGCATTATCTTGTTGGAAAGTTGGATCTGCCAGGGTGTCAAGATAGGGTAAAAGATGGGGTTCTAGAACTTTGTGGATATAACGCTGCGCGTTCATGTTACCTCTGATGAAGATTAAAGGTGACCTGAAACCATAAGCTATAGCACCCCAAACCATAACTCCAACAGTGTGATGAACATGTCTTTCAACAGAAAACTGTGGATTCCTCCTTTCACCACGTCGCCTTCTAACCCTGGCACGACCATCGTGCATGCCTAAACAAAATCGAGACTCGTCACTAAAGACAATACTGTTCCATTCCTGATCCCAGAGTGACCGTTGTCTGCACCACTCAAGGCGATTACGTCGGTGTTCTCGAGTTAAAGGGAGGACCCAGTGTGGCCGGTATGAAAACAAGCCAAAACTTCTCATTCGTCGGTAAACACTTCGCATGCCAATAGGTCTTCCATGTTCTGCAAACCATTCATTTGCAATGGACCTGGTAGTGGAGAAACGGTCCCTCAAGGCCAATAATCTTAGGCGGCGATCTTCACGGTCTGTTGTTCTACGGCGGCGTCCAGTGCCCCTTGCTCTTTGCGTACGGCCTTCTCGAAGCCATGCCTGACAACACCTAACCACAGTGTCTACACTTCTTTGCACTCTAACTGCAATTGCCCGAAAAGAAAGTCCAGCTTCCCGAAGTCCCACTATACGGCCGCTATCAAACTCACTAAGATGACGAAATCGTACAGGTCTCCGTACTCTAGGCATCGTAACCGATCGTAAAGGATGTCAAGAACCAAAATCCGCCAACGTTGATTCTTTACTGCGGCTGAAATATTCATTTTTAGAGCGTTAGTGAATTAAAAAAAAAGCAGTATAAAAACCGGAATGTCCAACTGATAAGGCTGAAAATTTTTTTAC